AAAACTACCGAATGCCTGGTTTTACCTCACACCAATTAAAATAAAAAACTCTTATGGGAGAGACCCAAGCTGATTTATTTTTAACTCTGGTGATGACTCGGGATTCTAATGGGCATCCACAGTTCGGGAAATATACCTTGAGCCATGGTTACCCAGGAGCCATTGCGGTAGTCAAAAGTCAGCCTCCACAGTCAGCACACTGCAGAATACTCAAGATTCTCCAACCATGGCACCCAAGTTCTCCCACTCACAGCTTCTTGCCTACTTGGCCTCTCCCAGCCTGAGACAGAGTTTCTCTTAGTAAAGCAATTCCTGAGGTGACAGGGCTATCTTCTGCCCCTTTCACAAGCTCCCCTGCCAATCTCTTAGGAGTCAACACTTCAGTTACTATCACTCATTCAGAAAACACAACACCCCTTCTTGTTGCTCCGAGTTAATCATTTCCCATTTTCCCAAGGTGACTCAGAAACCCAGAGCTCACTGACAGTGTGTGGGCAGCTTTATGGGCCTGTGGAACCACCTCACAGCTCCAAAACATGGCAGAACACTCTCGGAAAGACAGCTGACAAAAGCAACAGGAAATCTCAGTATTTATCTAGTCATAAGAAAAATACATGAGGCTTGTTTCAGAAACCACGGTTTGATTTATTGAGGAGTTGAGTCGCGCTCAAACATGCCATCAGTTCTAGCCTTGTTTGTCGGTCCTCTGCTGGGAGAGCACACATTGTTTTCAAAGCATTGGGTCGGAGCATGATGTTGCATGTGGAAACCACATCAGCAATCCTACTGGAGACATGAAATGCAGCTACACAAAGAAAGAGTCCACACAACTTTCCCGTGTCTAGCAACACATTAGAAGTAGGGCCAAGAGCCACTGAGCCCAGAAACCTACACTTCCTAAGAATTACATCCTCTGAGGTTGTTAAGTACCCTTGCCAATCGTCTCAGCATAAACGCACTCATTCACTCACTGATTCATTCATTCTCCATTCAATAGACAGTTCCTTGAACGGCTACTATGTGGCGGGTGCTGTGCTGTAAGTCAGGGCCATACAGAAGCTCAATGCCCAAGGTCTAGGTTCTACAGTCAATCACATGACCATATAATGACCTCTCCTCTCCCTGTCTTTTTGACTAAACTCTCATCAATGTTACTTCATCTAAAAACAACTTCTGTGATGTTTACAGTGAGCATCAGATGTCAGTCTTAGTTCCACAGCACCGGATGCTCATTGCAGGACTTCACCCTCTGCCTTACTTGTTTATCTGTTTCTTAGCAGCCTCTGGCTAGACAGTGAGCTACCTAAGGACAGCATTCTCCTCATGTCCATCTCCAGTGACCACATTATGCCCAGCATGCTACAGGGATTCGATCAGGCATGTCCAACCTGAGACCGACAGACCTCATGAAACCACGTGTGACCTCGGAGAGCAACGAAGGCAGCCTTTAACAAAGTAGTAAAGTGGAAACATGATGGACTTTTGTTTTGTAACTCGATTTGTCTGACTCTCAGTTGTGGATTGTGTAAATGATAACACCTATTTCCTGACATCCAACTCTTGGCTACACCTGCTCAGATGGACAATTGAGTAAAGGATAGTAATATTCACAGTCACTGAGAGCAAAGACACCCCAAGTCTCCACCTGGAAGCATGGCTGCTAATCAAACTCATAAATGCAAAGTCTGAGTCATCCAGGCTGGGGATGCTTGGAGGGTAGAGAGACATCGCAAGGAGGGGGCACGAGCTGATAGAAAGGCGGAAGGTCAATGCCAGGGAGACAGTGTTGGCAGAACAAAACAGAAGGTAATGAAAGAGGAACTCGAGCTGCAGCTGCTGGGTGGGACCAAGTAGATGCTTAGGCCTCCTTCTCTTTGTGCCCATCCAGACAAAAATACATGGGTCAGGAGGCCTGGAGCCGGTCTCCTCAGACAGAACACTTGTGTCTAGCATGTGTGAGAGTCACTGGACCACAACTGGGCTCTGCTCTGTGACAGTCCAAGTAGGGGCTTCTACACAGGGAGGTTTTCAGATGATCGAGAATGTGTGTGTGTGTGTGTGTGTGTGTGTGTGTGTGTGTGTGTGTGTGTGTGTGTCTGGGAATATGGCTCTGTGTCTGGGTATGTCCCTGTACATGTGTGTTTGTGTATGTATGTTTCTGTGTGTATGTCTGTGTGTCTGTGTGTGTGTGTGTGTGTGTGTGTGTGTGTGTGTGTGTGTGTGTGTGCATACAGGACAGAGGCCAACATCAGGTGTCTTTCTCTACCACTCTCTACCTTATCTGTTGGGACAGAACTTCTCATTGCACCTGGAACTCATCAACTGGGGAAGAGTAACTGCCCAGCAAGTCCCAGAGATCATCCCCCCACCCCCACCCCCACCTCATTTTCATTTCTCCAGCACTAGGATTACAGGTGTGTGTGTCCCTGGGCCAAGCTTGTTACATGTATAATGAGCATACAAATTGAGGTCCCTGTGTTTGTATTACAGACACTTCACCTCTGGAGCCATGTCCCAAGCCCCTCTCCCAGGTCACCGTGTTATTACAGAACTCACAAAAAGATCCGTCCCTTATCACAGTGTGTACACCTCAGTCCCTTTGGTAGGCTCATTTTTCCTAACATCTCAACCTCAGCATTTCTTATGACATCATACTGCCCAACCTTCTTCTCCCTACACTGTCGTTTCAAGTATTAAATTTAGTGATTTCATCAATGACACTCAGGCTAACCCCAGATCTAGGAGAAATGCTTCTCTGTCACCCATTTCATTTTCTAAGAAATATCACCTGAGAGGGTTTATCCCATTCCACAATCATGCCGTAAGCTCTCTCTCTGTCATGCATGAATGGAGCCTGAAAATTAAATGAGGAGGCCTAGGTAATCTATTGAGCCTTGGGCAGCAGATCAGTACCCATCCCAAGTATACACACGGACTTTGGACTCCCATAGAACAATGTGAGGTGCACTCTCACCCCGAACTCTTGGGGAAGGGTCTAGGCCCTGCCCTATATGAAATGACAGACTATGCACACCCCCATGGAGGGCCTCACCCTCCCTGGGGAAATGAGGGGATAACGGGGGGGGGAGGGGAGGGCTCGGGAGGAAGGGAGGGAATGGGAGAGGGACCTGGAACTGACTTGTGAAGCAACCTTGTTTCTTATCTAAATTTAAACTGGAAAATAAAATTAAAAAAAAAAAAGAAGTGAGGCTTGCAAAATTCTCCATAAAAAAAAAAAAAGATGAACAAAGCATGACCCTACTCTAAAGTCTTTATCCACCTGTGGAGGCAGTCCTAGTCATGGAAATTACTCATGAGGTAGGGTGTGCCAAGCTGTCTTGAAAGGTGGTCCTTTGGCCAACATCGCCATCACCAAGACACTCAGTAGCCATGTGTATTCCTAGGCTCCCCCCACAAGCCTGCTGCATGAGAAGGTGTCCATGCAGTACTAGTTGAGCACCACCCCAGGAGGATTTTCTGGGATAGGGGAGATTGAGAACCTCTGGTTTAAACTCTCCTCTGGATGACACCAGGACACAGGCCATTTCCAGACTCCCTCTCCTTTCTCCTCCCTGGAACATTACCAGGAAACAGCAATCCAGAGTGTTGACCCCCAGGTTGAAGTAAAGCACTGCTTTATCAAGTGATGACCACACCAGACCCCTCTCCCTCCAATCAATCATAGAGATTCTCCCAGGAGATAGGTGTGGAGCTGACTAGACTGACCCGAACTCTTTCAGTACAGAAGAAATCACAAGAGGCTAATAGCACCATTGTCTGCAGTTGCCCCTGCTGCCTGGGAGAAAGAAAAAACAATTATCAGCTTAGATATTCAAAAGAGAAGGAACTCTGGAGTTATCTCGGTGTTCAGGAATGGAAATAGGATAAACAGATCAATGAAAGCTAGGAAAAACGGGGCGGGGAGTAGGGGAAGGGGAGTAGGGGAAGGGATGGGGCAAGATCACAGTCTTAGCCTCAGGCCAGCAGCCCTGTGACAGTTTTAAGTAAATTAAAGCACACTGCTTTCTCCCCGGAGTTCAAGTAAAACTGTCCCTGGCAGACCTCTCAAAGCTCCTGGACACTGTTTTTGGCTTCTGGCTACGTGTCATTAGTGACCTATTTTCCATGTCTAAAGCCCCTGAATCAGCAGTTTCTCCCCCACTTGCTGTTTCCAGGCTGGTGGAAATGACACCCGCGTCCCAGAGCAAGCCACCACCTACACTCTCCCATACGCACAGGAGGGGGGAAGCACGTGATCCTTATAAAGACGTCGGCTTTGACCCGAGGCTGCCTTCAAGAGCCCAGCTGTCATGCCTCCACCAGATAAACTGCTGGACTTGGGATTATCTTAGCTGAATAAGTAATCAGAACTAAAAATAGTCCTAAATGGCCTGGGCTTTGTTTAAACCCTGCCCAGATGGGAAAGACTTTTTTAAATCTAATTGCAAAATCATATTTTAAAAGACTTTGCACCAAAATGCAAATAATAATAATAACATTTACAATACACCTATTTGGGACATAGTTCTTGGTTAAAATGGCTCTCTGAAAAAAAGAAAAGCCGTCGTTTTAATTGCACACCGAGTTGAGATTATCAATTGTTGATTAGTACTAAAAGCAGTCAGTGTGCTTAAACCTTCTAGGAATATCTTCACACATAAATCCACGTGGGAAAATTACCCATTGGTTTAAAAACTGCAAAAGATAGCTTGCTGCCAGGCAGATTAGCCGGGAAGCTAAATTCCACAAGAGAGCGCTGTCTCTGCTTGTCCTTCTTTAGAAGGACTCTATTTCCCTCTGCCTAGGTGGCTTCCTGTTTTGTTCCCCTATAGTGTGCTTCAAAGGGAAGGCTCAGTTTCATAGAGAAGTCTGCTGCTTCTGTAACTACATTCTGAGGACATCAGGCAAATACTATCTATGCAGCATCATAGAGTGCGAGAGAAGGGGAACCCAGCAAGACATTAAAAACCAAGGACAAATCAACAAACACATCCAACTTGACTTTTCTCCATAGTGTATTAGGGTGTGCATTTTTGTTGCTTCTCTGATGAATATGATAAAAGGAAATAAAAGTGCATTCTTCAAAGACTGGGAAACAGCTGTGTCGGCAAGCCAACAGCTGCACCTGTCGGAGACCCAGGAGCATTCTTCACAACCATCTTCTTCCTGCCCCGGGATACACAGCCCCACACAAGCAGTGCACCTGGCCACCACACCCGGGCCATTTCTTCCCATCTCTTTTTTTCTGGCTTGGCTGAGAAGCAAATTACTTTGCTGTGTCTGGATTTGAGAGAAGCAGAACAAAGACACGAGAAACAATGCAGAATGAATGACTTGGTGCCATCATTAAGCATCCCACAGGCAGCAGTGTCCAGTGAGGGATTTCTCCCCCTCCCCACAATGCTCAGGCTCAGAGACCAGCTGCTCAGACACTACAGTGTGAAACCTCTCACCTCTCCAGGACTCGGGTATTCTTATCTGAAAACACATAACAAAATACTAACCCTACCACATCAGTGATTATCTTTGGTATTTTCAAGAGCTGTTTTTATTATTTTTATATGAGCTTTTTGAGTGGACTGGTGCTGTTGTATGTACCAGTGCCCACAGAGACCAGAAAAGGGTATCAGATCCTCTTGGAGCTGGACTTAGTAGGACTGTAAGCCATTGGACATGGGTGCTAGGAAGCGAACTCAGATCCTCTAGAAAAGTGGAAAGGAATCTTAACTGCCGAGCCTTTCTCCAGTCAATTTTCTTTGGCATTTTGAGACAGGGTCTTGCTATATAATCTAGACTGACCTCCAACTCATGACCTTCATCCCTTTACCTCCTGAGTGCTGGGGTTACAGAGGAATTTGTCCATGCTTGGGTTTTGTTGCATTGAATATTCTGAGCTAAAATAATAACACTTTGCCTTTTTTCAAAGTGTAATGAAATAATGTAAACACGGAACCCATTCCTAGGGCTACACAAGCATTAACAGAGTGACAGGGAAAGCTGAGGTAGATTCAGTCCCAATGCTTACTATTACTACTATTAATTCATCTTTCAGACAAAGGGTCATTAAGTTTTCTCTGTTGGAGACTCAGTGACAAACTACTGTAGAGTCCTTGCAAAGATTTTTTACCATGAGAAATGCTGAGTAGAGAGTCTAGAATGCTAAGTATCCCACATAGAGACATTTAATTGTACAGTAAGTATTGCTTGTTCATTAAACTGATGTAGAAAAACTCTAAATAAGGCAAAGGAAAGGAACTGACAGAGGAGATAAAGATTATCACATGTCATAGACAAACATTGAAATGAATGAGTTTGGGGCTAGAGAGATGGCTCAGCAGTTAAGAGCACTCACTAGCTGTTCTTCCAGAGGAACCGGGTTCAATTCCCAGCACCCACATGGCTGCTCACAGCTGTCTGTAATTCCAGTTCAAGGGTACCCAACACCCTTATTGAGGCAAAACACCAATGTCCATTTTAAACAAATGAACACATGCATTCTGAAGGATCCAAAAGAATAGGTGATAATCAGCAAGCACTTAAATTTTATAGTTTGGGTTTTATTTATTTTTTTATTTTTCTATAAGGAACACATCTATTTTGGTAAGAAGAAAAGTATACAGTTCTGGGCCTGGTGGCACAGGTTTCTAATCCCAACACTCAGACTGAGGAGGGGGATGATCAATATGGTTTGAGGCCAACCATGTCTGCACAGCCAGCTCCAGGAACCCTGCCTATATAATGAGGCCTTTTCTTAAAAGTAAGAAAAGAAGAAGATGAAAAGAAAGGATGACAAAGGAAGGAAGGAGTAGTAAAGGAAATATTTCAACTAAAGAACTCTCAAAGGCCGGGCAGTGGTGGCACACGCCTTTAATCCCAGCACTTGGGAGGCAGAGGCAGGCAGATCTCTTTGAGTTTAAGGCCAGTCTGGTCTACAGATCGAGGTTCAGGACAGCCTCCAAAAACTACATAGAAACCCTGTCTCGAAAAACCAAAAAACAAAACAAAACAAAAGAACTCTCAAGATTTGGAGATCAAAGGATCTTTGAGGGAACACACATCATAATTTGGAAAATGTAGGTGAACCCCAAAGGCCCAGGTCTTTCATCTAAGGTGACTCAAGACCTTGTATGATTTCTGGAAAATAAGCTCCATTTTGCTCACTTACCAGAGAGACATGAGTAGGAGATGTAGAAGATGCAGGTTTCCGGGTCACTGTTTGCAAAGAGAAAGAACACCCGAACAGATGCATTATGTCTCAAGCCAGCCAGCAGCCAATAAGAGAAACCTTCAGACACAAGGAATGTGCGCACTCACTCATTCACTCCTGAGGTGTGGAATATGTAGGAATCTCAAGCAAGAGCCGGGACAGCAGCAGAGAGAAGAGCACAGTGTCCCTCTTTAAGAAGGCCAGCTGCTCCTTAGATAGCTCCCATAGACTTCGTTAGTGTGTCCTTCCCACTTGGCATAGTAAGCCATGGATAGCAAGTCGATGTGTAAGAAACATGCTGAAGACACAGCTTAAATTAAAATTCTAGCAGGTATACAGGACCAGGGTGAGGGACGCATGCTAATGTCCTCATTTGAAAAGTTGATATAACACCACTGGCTTCACCCTAGATCATCTGGTGAGTGATCTGGTCTAATGAGGGCTCAGGAGCGATTCAGTTAGCACACAGGCCTGTTAGCTTCCTAGAATATTTTCCCCTAGCCCTTAACCTAGACATGGAAAAAAAAAGCCAAGGGCAAAGGGCCTGAGTCTTCATCCCACTGAGACCATAACTCTCTGCCCCTGTCTGCATAAACAGGAAACCTGTGGTCACTTGTAAGAGAGCAGCCAGAGGAAAATGGGGGATGGAGTGGGGGGGCAGCTATGTTTGGGAAAAATAATGCAGGGCAGGATCTTGCCAGGCAAGAAGGACAAAAGGAAGATGACTTCAAATTGCTGCATCATTGGAAGTCCACAAGGTAGGAGATGACAAGTGGCATTCAATGGCTCTCCAGAAACAGAAGAGAAAGAAAGAAAGAAAGAAAGAGAGAAAGAAAGAAAGAAAGAAAGAAAGAAAGAAAGAAAGAAAGAAAGAAGGAAGGAAAGAGGGAGGGAGGGAGGGAGGGAGGGAAGGGAGGAAAAGAGAGTTAGAAAAGAAAAAAGTAGAAGATAGGAGCAACAGGTGCAGAGGGAGTACCCTGGTTCTCTTCAGGAGAACCTCTTTTCCCCCATTACCTCTCCTATTCTCCCTAGAGCTTCTGGTCAACCTTATCATCCCATGTCACTCTCACGTGTATGTGTCTGACATACTAACTCAACACAGGCTCGTGGGAGATGCCCAGATAAGTAAATGAACAATACATGTGGATTAGCCCTCAAAAGAAAAACAAACAAACAATGAGTTAGTGGGGATGTACAGGATACAGAACTCAGAAATCAAAGTCAGTCTCCTGGGTAGACTTGAAGAGCAGGCTTTAGACCAGTGGTTCTCAACCTGTTGGTGACGACCCCCATGGGGGTTGAAAGACAGGAGGGTTGCATATCAGATATCCTGTATATCATCTATTTACATTATAATTCATAACAGTAGCTAAATTATAGTTATGAAGTAGCAATGAAGTAATTTTATAGTTAGGGGTCACCACACCATGAAGAACTGTATTCAAGGGTCACAGCATTAGGAAGGTTGAGCACCACTGATTTAGAGGAAGAGAACTCTAGACTCCTTCTCCAGCACCATGTCTGCCTGCATGCTCTCATGCTTCCTGCTATGAAGATAACAGACTAAACCTCTGAACTGTAAACCACCCAACTAAATGTTTTCCTTTATAAGAGTTGCCACGGTCATGGTGTCTCTTCACAGCAATAGAAACCCTAACTAAGACAGTTATTTTCTGTCTCTCCTATATCTCAGAATGTTATAAAAGATCACGCTCCAACGAGACAGCCCCTCCACCCTCAGCACATGCTCTTTGACCTGTGCCCTCTGACCTGTGCTTCCAGCAGTACTAAAGGTTGTCTTTGCCAAAGCAATCTATCCAGGTAATCTCTGACTACCTCCATCTGGTGGAATGATTAAAGTCATCCAACACAGCTGTTAGACAGTATGCACCCAGCACCTTACTCCTCTAATGACTTTCACATGCATGGGCTGCAGTGGCTCTGATGGTGTGTGGGGGGGGGGGTAAGCATACTAAACACAGTAACACGTGTTTACTTCTGCATTGATTGTGTTCAAAGCCAACCACATCTTTCACACAGGTCACCGGATTTACATCTTCATTCCCATCACTGAGCTCCGCGTGAACGAGAACAGGTGTTTTTCCATCGTCGGAGGAAGAGTCCCGATTCAAAATAAGCAAATGCTGTGTTCTTAGTCACTGGGCACAAGGACCTACTCCCATCTCCAACTGCAGAGTTAAAAGGCAGATTTTTAAAGCAAACAGGCACACCGAAACCTTCACCGGTTGCATCGGGATTGTTTGTGCACATCCTGCAACTGCAGGAAGAACTTATTTTATCTTTGTCAGGTCAGATGAAGGTCAAAGGGCTAGCATAGTATCTAGAACTTGAGGCAATTCTTGAATGGTTCAAGGAAAAGAAAAAAGGAGAAAGAATAGAAAGGAAGAAATTTCTTCCATTTTACAGGGTGAGGTTAGCTACATAACACCCCCAAATCCTCCTTATGAGGATAATGTTATAATCGAGATCCCCACTATAGCATCACTTAGATGGAAACCCCACAACTGACAAGGGCCTGGGTGACACACTGAGTAGATTGACTTTATGAATTACTTGTCTCCCTCCACCCATCCCGGGTAGCCAGCCGTCTGCCCTACTCCCACAACAGCTCATGGGAACTCGCATCGTCATATGCACACACACATTAAAGGCAAACACCTCCTGAACTAAAAATAAAGTACACAGAAAAGCCTAATTAGATCAATCATCCTTCACTGGGAAGCTAAACATGGGTGGGGGAAGGCACTGGCAGGCCAGGGAGCTAACAGCAGTGTGGACGCCTCTCTTTGATCCTCTGACAACTTCCCAGCTACGGGGAGATGGCCTGGGCGCCATCTGACCTTCCCCTTGGGTGTTGCTTTGACTTTCCCTCCGCAGCTCACGTTCCTCCTGCCCGCTTCCTCTCTTCCTCTGGTCCCATTGCTTTTGCAGTAAATAAGCATTTGATGATGAAACCGCGGCTGAGGAGCCAGAGTCAGCCTCGGTTTGTGGGCAGCACCTTCCTTCCCGTGTGCCGCAATGTTAGGAGGTGGCCATTGGGTCTAGGGAAGTGCCTCTCCCCCTCCATCCCATGTTCATTCCTTCCTTTATGAATCTGGTCCACGGGCGCTCAGTGATGATCTTACAAGTCAAAATGTTCCAAACTCAGAAATGAGAAACTGTATGGGTCACATAGAAATCATTAATTATTATCAATATAAGGAATTCGTTTTTGTTTTTAATTTTCAAGACAGGGTTTCTCTGTGTAGCTTTGGAACCTCTCCTGGCTCTTGCTCTGTAGACCAGGCTGGCAAGGAATTTATTTTTTAATCACAGCAGGATTTTAAAATATGCACTCATAGATGAGGTGTAAGTGCATGTAACTGTTTTGGATTTTTTTTTTTTTGAGACAGGATCTTTCTACATAACTCTGGCTGTCCCAGAACTCACTACTTAGGCCTGGTGGTCCTGGAACTCACAGAGATCTGTCTGCTTCTGCCTTTGCCTCCCAAAGGATTAAAGGGGTACACCTCCATCCCTGATTGTAATGTATTTTTAAAAATCCAAAGCAAGTTTATAAGGCAAAACCCAGTTTAGTGTACATTAATATCACTTTAGCGCAATAGGTAGACATTGATATTTAACTGAAACCAAACCACTATGGCATATGACTATGGTGAGCCACGTGCATGAGCAGTTCAACCTGTGTGACCTAGGTAGGGCTCAACACTTATTGTCCTCCCATGCCTCTCTAGGCAAGTTGACATAGCCACTATCACAAGAAACTGGTAATGTTTGCCTCTCCCTCCCCTTACCTATGCGTCAAATTTTGTCTCCAGCTCTTTTCTCAATAGTGTGGGGATAAAAACAGGACTGGCTACTTGGCCCTGGAGGTAATTTTAAATTGAATGTAGACTACAATTAAATACAAATGTAGAAACCAGGATCAATTGGCAGCTTTTGTCTGAATGATCTAGGAAAACAAATGCCTCTTTAAGCCTCAGACTGTCCTTGAGATTAAAGAGTGGTTTTTGCTTTTCTGTTTGCTGTCAGCTTCCAAAGGCTGACACATCCCAGAAGCATGTGGCCTACAGTGGAGAAAAATTATGAGGGTGCTCCTGACTTGTCATTGACAGATTTGAGGCAAGGCTATATCACAATCAGATTTCCATATCACAGTAACTATAACAGAGCAGCATGGTAGATACATTGTGAGAGAAGAAATCAGACATTGGGGGATTATTTAGACACCATGACAGTAATTACACACACACACACACACATACACACACACACACTAATCTAAAAGTGACAGTGTGAGTGCGAGACAGGTGAACAGACCAGAAACTTTCATAAAAGGAAGAATCTACAACACTTAAGAACTAGTAAATATGGCTGAGAAGGAAAAAGTGTGACACCACTTCCCAGATGGGAGCACAGGGAAGGGTTTCATTTCACAGGTGACAACCCAAGCATGGCAAGAACTACCAGGGTAAGGACAGCCAAATATAGAGGGCTGGACACAGGGGAAGAGCTCCATAGGCTTCCCTGCTGGGATGGCTTAGTGGACACCAGCCTGCAGGGTATAATGTCTAGGCTTACGAAACACTCACAGACTGCCCAGCAGCGGCCACCTAACAAAATGAGCTGGTGCCTTTCCATGTAATTGACAGTCCAGATCCATGAACATTCTCATGGAAAGAAAACTGGGTTTGTGGTTACTGAAACCAAACTTCTAACTCCTGTCCTACAGCTTCCTGAGAATGACATCTTGTCAGGTCATTTTGGCCTCCACCCCTCCACCTTACTTTTGCAAACGGAGGCTATAAAACTTTATTTCAAAAGCCAGTTAAGAATATTAAGCAAAACGATGGACTATAATATTTAGCACAGTGCTTATAGTATCTTGGACAATGGACCATGATTACTCTCAAATACAGTAAGGGTATGGAAAACACCAGACTTCCTACGTTCAGACTGTGTCTCTACCACATTCCAGATATGCAACCTTATATAAGGGCATTCTGAGATGATAATGTCTACAGCACAGGGTGACTGGGGCAGTGTCGTAAGTCAATGTACATGGAACTGGGAGCCGTAAGATCTGCACACAGTGTAAGTAGGCTAAGAGTTTTTTTATTAGCAACATAATTGCTCTTTCCTCCCTTCCAAAGATCAACTTCAAGGGTTTTTTTTTTTCCAGGTCATCACTTTCAGAGAAGGCAAAAGGGAACAAGTTCACACTGGCCTTACGACACTAGATAAGAAAATCGCTGGAGAGGAAAATGAGGGGGTGACAGTCCTAAACACATCTGCGGCTGTTCTGTGACTGTATGGCAACCTTGCCTAACACACACCAGAGTCCTCAGAGCCCTGCAATGCAAGATCTGCAGTGTCTGAAGGCTGCAGTCCTCTGATGAAAGGGAAGGGCTGCCACCAAGTGAGTCTAGTGGAGAAGGCAGCCACCAGAGTCAGGGACTGGATTCCTGGGAGCGACCATGACACCATTGTCAGTGAGCTTTTGTTGTCCTTTCCCAGTGCTTAAACACCACAGCGATTCTGGAGTTTTCCCTTAACTGGAAAGGGAGGGGGGAGTAGAGAAAGAATGAATAGAAGAAAGGAAGGGAGGGAGGGAGGAAGGGAGGGAGGGAGGGAGGAAGGGAGGGAGGGAGGAAAGAAGAAAGGAAAGAAAGAAACAAACAAAAAGATAAATTGATGAGTACCACCCCACCCTACCCCACTCCCAACCCACCCCTGAAGGGAAGCTACCCCTGGGAAGCCTGGCACTGCCAAGTGTAAGCACAGCCCCCCCATTTTCTTTTCTAATATGCTAAGCATTATCATATCTAGTATCTGACTCCAGTCAACCAAGGTCACGAACAAACTAGTCTTTGTGAAAGGTGTGTGTGTGTGTGTGTGTGTGTGTGTGTGTGTGTGTGTGTGTGTGTCTGGATTTGGCTTGGAATTCCAATCGGAGTGACTCTCCCAGGCTTTGCTCCCAGCCAGGGCAGCCCAAACCTGAGCTGAGTTCTTGGTGATTTGCTGCCTCCACCAGGCTCCGTGGAGAATATTTTCAAATAAATTTCAATGTGTTTAAACCAAAGTGGATTCAAGATTGTTTACCTCAGGGCAGAACAGAGGCCTATTGTAGACAGACGTTATTAACTGAGACCACATTTTAACTGATTAAACATTTTCCCAACTGAAAAGGCTAGGAAGAGTAAGGCAGGGAAATCAACATCTTTGGAGCAAAACAGGTTTTAGATGTGACTTGACCCTGCTACCTGCACTGACCCTTTGACCCGGAAGCCAATCTCTTCCCTGACTCTACTTCCTGTGTCAGAGTCACTTAATCCTCTCAGCTCATATGAAATGAGGGGGTGACACCATCTATCTCCATCTATATTATAAGTTGGTATCACCTCCATCATGATTTGTCCCCAACTTGATTCCCTGCCTCGGCTCTGACCATTCCCTGCAGACATAATCCGTCCCAGTTCTGTGAGGCCACCTAAGGCTCCTGTCTGGGCTCTTATCAAATCCTGATCCTGCTGCCCGAAAAAGCCCCTCCCCTGCTTCACCATCATCCAGGCTTGCAGTGGGCTTTCTAGTCCTCTCTTGGATACCGCCTCCTCCAGGAAGTCGTCCTGAACACCAGCTCCCCTTTACAAAGCCTGCATGTTCTCAGAGAGCGCTGGGCATCTGTGCACACCCACCTCATCGGTGCATGCAGAGCACCATGTTGTCAGTGACTCCTGATTGCCCCTTGAACTATGAGCTCCATGCAAGCAGAGATCATGCCCATCTGGCCACAGGAAGTCTCTATACGTATCACAAAGCCGGGCGCTGTAACAGGTAGCATTGCAAAACGAAACAGAGCTAGTAAGCGCCATAGTTCCACTGCATTTACATAGCCTCGGACAGAAGCCGGAGAGTGAGAAGTTGGTGCTAGTCTGCGGTTCTGTGCCCGACTCAGATAGCTGAGCCATTGTCTGATACTGTTTTATCGAAACTCTCCTTGAAGCTAAGAGCACGGGCTGTCTTTGCCGGCCACCTCTGGAGTTCCAGCCAGGGCTCCAGAAACTCTTGCTGCGGGACTTGGTCCAGCCCTTGTGATCCAGCAGGGCCTTTGCTTCCATTCTGCCAAACCTTGCTCTGACCTGC